AATAATTTGGTAGAATTCATAATTTAAAGATTTCTAAACCCTTAAAAGTTCTTTAATCATTTGGCAAGATATCATGAATTAAAAAAAATTATTGTTATTTATATATTTAAAAAGCATCTATAAACAATGGCATAAAATAAATAAATGCAAATAAAAATTATACCAACTAGATCGTATCTAAGTCAGAATCCAAAATAAATTGAGTTTGGAATGGCCCAACAAAATTCTTACCAAGCTTGAAAAAGGAGGGCCGGCTAGATGATTTGGGCTTCACTATTGGACTTGAATTTTCTTTAAGATAGTTAGTAGGCTAGGAACTATTGCAATTGAGCTCCAGCAATGGAGTGAAGATAGTGGTGGGACAGTGCAATAGTTTTGCTTTTGTTAATTGCTTTTTGTTTCTTCTCTTATTACTATGTTCTTTAACACAAGCCTTTAAAAGAAAATTCTAATTATCTAGACCTAAAACATCAGAAAAGATTATAAAAAAACTCTAATTTTTCCTTTTTTTTTTACTTTTTTCTTTCTTGATATTTTTGATTAATTCTTGATTGTTTCTAATTGATCCTAATGAGATCTTTTTATATGCCTCTAATTCCAATTACAATAGGAAAAGGAGTTTTCTTAGTTTGAATCTCTTAATCAACTTCAACCTTAGATTTTTAATCCAAATCCACCTTTCTGTTGGGAATAATGACTCAAATCCCATAAGAGATTTGTTTGAAATTTGTTAGATATTGCTTGATGGATAAGAAGACTTGCAAAAGAAGAATTCTAAGAGAAAAAAGATTCTTAATAGGTAAGTTTGACTTGCAAGAGAAGAATTCTAAAAAGAAAGGGATTCTTAATAGGCAAGTTTGACTTATAGGAGAAGAATTCTAAGAGGAGAAAAATTTTTAATGGGCAAGTTTGTATGATTATAAATAGGTGAAGTCTCTACAGGTTACTTATGAGAAAAATATGTAAGAGAGTTGTAGGGTTTTGTGGGATGACACTCCATAAGAGTATTGGGGCTCTACGTCTTATGGGTGTGTATGTTTATTTGTGAGTGGACTAGAGGAGATTGAGAGGGTTCACATAGGTATGATGTATGGGAGCATATAGGTATGCATTTGATTATATTGAAAAGGTGCACAAGGGTTTGGGTTTGAGTTTGTTTGGGTTGAGAATACTCCATAAGACTAGAAGAGATTAAGAGTGTCTTATGAGTATTGATTGTTGAATGAGGTTGATGATTTGATGTATGTTTGTAACTCTCTACAACTAGTGGATCTTGTTTCTCATCCGTGGACGTAGGTTGATTGGACCGAACCACGTTAAATTGTTATCTCTTGTGTGTTTGATTTATTGTTTGATTTCGCTTCTACTGGTGTGATTGGATTGGAGGCTTTTAGCCCAACAAATGGTATCAGAGCTGTGGTGTTCCCTAACAAGTGGTATTAGAGCTGAAGGTTCGAAACATAAGAAGAGTTAAAGATTCAAGATGTGGAAAGAGCCGAAGGTTCGAGACGTGAAAGAGTTAAAAGTTCAAGATGTGGGAAGAGCTAAAAGTTTAAGATGTGAGAAGTGCATGGTTTGAGACATGAGAAGAAACAAGCTCAGAAGAGCTCGATTCAATAGAAGAGTTTGAGTTTAAGTTTTGAAGATTAAGAATTGGTTTGTATGAAGCGTGAAGACATAAGAGAAGAGAAGATGATTGTGAGACTTCCATTATAGGTGAAGCCAAACATGTCTAGCATGAAGACAGATGATTGATAGAATTTAAGTCAATGTGAAGATTTTTTAGAATAATGACTCAAATCCCATAAGAGATTTGTTTAGGATTGTTAGAGATTTATTTAGGATTTATCATATATTGCTTGATGGACAAGAAGACTTGCAAAAGAAGAATTATAAGAGAAAGAAGATTCTTAATAGGTAAGTTTGACATGCAAGAGAAGAATTCTAAAAGGAAAGAGATTCTTAATAGGCAAGTTTGACTTACAGAATAGGGATTCTAAGAGTAGAGGGATTCTTAATGGGCAAGTTTATATGGTTATAAATAGGTAAAGTCTCTACAGGGTTAGGTATACGATAAAGATGTAAGAGAGTTGTAGGGTTTTGTGGGATGACACTCCATAGGAGTATTGGAGCTCTACGTCTTATGGGTGTGTATGTTTGTTTGTAAGTGGACTAGAAGAGATTGAGAGGATCCACATAGGTATGATGTATGAGAGCATATGGGTATGTGTTTGGTTATGTTGAAAGGGTGCACAAGGATTTCGGTTTGTGTTTGTTTGGGTTGAGAATACTCCATAGGACTATAGGAGATTGAGAGTGTCTAATGAGTATTGATTATTGAGTGAGGTTGATGATTTCATGTATGTTTGTAATTCTCTACAACTAGTGGATCTTGTTTCTCATCTGTAAACGTAGGTTAATTGGATCGAACCACATTAAATTATTGTCTCTTGTGTGTTTGATTTATTGTTTGATTTCGCTTCCACTAGTGTAATTGGATTTGAGGCTTTTAGCCCAACAAATGGTATCAGAGCTATGGTGTTCCCCAACACTTTCAAACCAATTCCCTTTTACATTCATTTTTCAATTAAAACACTTTTAATTCAACAACTTAATTAGAATTAAACCCTCTTTAAGTTTCAGCAAAACAATTCTTTCCCTTTTTTTTTTAAATAATAATAATAACTCTAAGCTAAATAAAATACCAAAACTAGATAAAAAAAATTTAAATCCTAATATTAAAATATAAATTGACCCGGTGTCTATAAAAGGAAGAGGGTGAAACACTTTTGGTGAATACAACACAATTAATTCATGTTTGGATAATCTTTGTCACAACTCCCAATTGAAGTTGAAGAGTCCACTTTACTAATGTAGCGTGACAAACTTTACCTAACATCATAAATTGACCACAACATTTATCAATGACACTCCCTGTTTTGAAGATACTTACGAAAATTTCCATAGTACAATTTTGATCCATTTTGGTTTCATTTTCACAATTATATTTTTTAATAATGTCAACTTCCTCTCTAGCTATGAGCTACTCGACTTGTTATGAACAAAATCACCAAAACAGAACAAACATTTAAGCTTGCCATTTTTATTAGTGTTTTTTCAATGACGTTTACTGGCAAGAAAAATATTATTTTTAGGTGGTCATGATTCGAGGTGTTCATAGTTGGATCAAACAAAATTTAGGTCAGATTCATATTTAATATTAATAACTTATATGTTTGTTTAGATTTGGGCTAGTCTAAAATTTTGGATCTTAAAAATTTTCCAAGCTAGACCAAATTAAAAAAATCCCAAACTCACAATTAAACTTAATTTATATAATAAAAAATAAAAATAATGTGATTAAATTAAGTTTAATAAGATTATATTTAATTCACATATATATAAAAATTAAAAATAAAAGTTATATATATATAAATTAAAAATAAAATTTATATAAAAATAAAAATTTAGTTTAATAAAATATATACAATTTTTATTTTAAATTTTTATATACATGTGAATTAATTTATATATAATTCACATACATATATAAAAAAATAATTTATTTATATTTGAATTCAAGCCAAGCAAGGTCAAGTCAAGCTTGAATTTTAAATCTTTTATCCAAGATTCGACCTAAAATTTAAACAAATAAAAAATTAAGCCTAACCTCGTTTAACAGGTTTTAATTTTTTGCTCAAACCCTTTCAAAATTTAGATAAATTTTATAATTTGAAAAGATAACCTGACCTTTGAATAAGTCTAATCATAACAAAAAAATATGCATAGGAATATAAAAGAAATTCATTACTTTTCGGTTTGAAGGGTTGATTTTACTCTTTTTGTTACGGCAAATATTTTTAATGATGTGAGTTATATTTTATTTATTTATTAGCACTAATTTCTTTTTTTTAAGAATCACAATTTTTTTCCAAGGAGTGAGAGTGAATATTTGAATTAAAAATATTAATAAAAAAAGACTAATGAAAAAAAAAATCAAGGGATTGACCCCTAATGGCCAACGTTAATAGAAAACAACTGCCTTTATTGAAAAAAAATGAAAACTTTTAATTAACTTTTATTCAGTAACTTAAAAAATTTAAATTCGAACAAACACAACTTTAATCCACTGATTATTATCTTCTGCATGATAATTAAGATTCAAAGCTGGATTGTTGATTCTTTTTTTTAACTCTTTTTTATTTAATAAATATAAAAAAAACAATTTAATTTAATTTAATTAAGTTTAAATTAATTTGATTTGACTTATTACTAGAATATCTTTATCTTTTTTATCATTATTTTATTGGACTTAACCCGTTTATACTTTTTTTTTATCTCTTTATATTTGTTTATTTGGTTTCCCCTCTCCCCATCCATACTCTTCGCTTTTTTTACTATTACCCAATCAATCTCCCTTAAAAAAATCCCAAAAAATTCTAAAATTTTTTATATATGTGTTCGATTTAATATATATTTTTCCTTGTTTTTAGAACAAAAATTATTATTATTATTATTATTATTATTATTATTATTATTATTATATATTGAGCTATTTACATACTTGGCGCTAGAATAATTGCAAAATATTCAATATATGTAGAATCAACAGGCATAAAAGGTACGTACGGGATTTTAAGTACCTCCCCCTATTTAGATTTTATTGAAAGCTTTTAATAAGGTTCTAATTTCTCCTTTTAAATATTGGCTCAATTAACTTTTGGAATTAGATACGAAATGGATGGAAATCACTAATGACTTCGAGTCTCAACGGATTATATCCCAATGTATCAATTTTCAGTAAAATAATGTAAATAAAATCTCGTTCTAATTCAACCATTTCTTTGTAATTTTGTATACCATTCTTAAATTGCAAGGTTTGCAATTTACTAGTTACAAGTTACAAAGGTTATTGAAAACTGAAAACAATATTCATACTAAAATTTGTGCCTTATTATTGTTCTATAAACTTTCATTTATCGAATGAATAGATCCAATCTTTAGGGAGAGGGAGATGGTGAAACACTCTTGGTGACTACAGCACATTTGTTCCAAATTTGGATACTCTTTGCCACAATCTTCGATTCCTCCATATTTTTAAACTGAGGAAGTTGAAGAGTCCTCTTTACTAATGCAGCGTGACAAATTTTACCTAACACCATAAGTTCACCACAACATTTATCCGTGACATCCCCAATTTTGAAAATACTTGTGAAAATCTCCATAATACAATATTGACCCATTTTGGTTTCGTTTTCACAATCATATTTCTTGATAATGTCAGCCTCTTCGGTAGCTATGACTGCTCCGCTCATCACAAATAAAGCCACCAAAATGAAATAAACATTGAAGCTTGCCATTATGCTCAATAAGGATCTTTCTACTTTACTTTGGTTGGTAAAATGTATTTCCAACGAAGTTTACTGGCAAGAAAAGGATTTTATTTATAGGTGGCCACGACAAATAAGAGATGCGATTAAAATATAAAAGTAATTATTTATATTTCAGTTTCAAAAGTTGATTTTAATCACTTTATAACTACAAATATTTTTAATGATCTGAGGTTTTTTTTTATTTATTAGCATTCATTTCTTCTTGTAAAGAACCAATTAACTTTTTTTAGTCCAAGTAATGAGAGTGAAATTTTGAGTTATCTAAAAATAAAAAATGAGTTAAAAATATTTTTTAAAATATAGAATAATAATTAAGATTCCTATTGGTTTGTGTTTTTATTTATTATTTATTGAAATAAATAAAAAAGAAGATTGACAGATATCCCTATACAAAATCGGGCTTTAATTAATAAAAAATCGAGAACTTCTATTTAAGGTTTTTTTTTTTTCTTTTCAAATCAGTAACTTTTATAAGAAAAAAACTCAACCTTTGTATTGTGGTTGGTATGTTATTTTATGAATATTTAGATTCAAATTTTGAATTCTCATTTCTTTCCATACCTCTCATATATACCCTCAAAAAAAAAAAAAAAAGAAAAAATTGAGTTCCAAAACACTTACAACAAAAAACAAGAATAACATGCAATAGAAATGATTATGATAATTTAATCATTGAGGTGATTTTGTTACTATAATGATCTTATTACATATGACTTATATTCGCTTTGTTTTTTTAATAATAGTTAAATTTTAGCAATTTAAAATTAGTGTGTTTTGGTATTATTGAAAATCAAATATTATTTTATTTGAAAATACGAAATTAACCATTTTTTAGTAATTACATAATAAATTAATAATGTCAATGTTATTTAAGGATAACAATTTGTGCTAGTAATATTTTATTTTCCTCACAATTAAATTTAATCAAATTATTAAATTAACAAATATTTTTATTGATACGTAAAATAATTTTCATAATATAAAATATGTAAAAGTAATTGAAGTAATAGTTAATATAGTTAATTTTCATATGACTTTACTTTTGTGATAAAAATATTTTACTCTTCATTGGTACGAGAATCTCCAAGATAGTATTTTCATCATTCTCAATAATCTAAAATCATTTCCACATAGAATCATCGAGTTATCACCAAACGTGATGATCTAATTACCATATATAGATCACTATTATTTTTTAAGTGATCACCCCAAACCAAACACCACATAAGATTCTATTAACTGATACTTTATTCCTACATTTTTTTATTATTTATTATTTATTTACATTTTATTTTTTCTATTTTTTTTTTTGTAAAACTTATAAAAATGTCAATTAAATTAAACTTGATTAAGCTTAAACAAACTCTCTTATATGTGTAGACACTCAATTTGGTCCAAGCCCAGATCAATTAAGCTTGGTCCAAATGGGTAAGCCAATTTTGTATCTTATTTATTTATTTATTGTTATTATTATTATTTATTAATATATATTTTTATCTATTAATATATATTATTATTTATCTATTAATGTATATAAATTGTTATTATTAACTATTATCTATTATTTATCTATTAGTATATATATTTATTTATTATTTATCTATTTTTATTATTTTTTTTTGGCTGGGATTAAAGGATATTGATCAAAAATTAGAATTTTTTCGTGAATTTGGGATTCAATCAGAGTCCAGATTGGATTCAAGGATTGAATCCCAATCTAAGAGGGAATTGAGATTGATCAAAAACTTTTCTGATCAATCCCTATAAATAGATCCACAGAAAACGAATGAAAAAACATGCACAAAAAGAAAATAGAAGCTAAAAAGGTTTTGGTACACTAGATACAGCTTTAGGAATTTGTGGGAATTTTTTTAGAATTTTTGAAGTTTTTTTCTAGAAAATTTTCAAAAATTTTTCAAAATCCGACGAAATTTTTCGACGAACCTTGAATTTTTCAATGAGTATTTCGGCCAACTTTGAAGTTTCCGACATTATTTTCCAGAATCTGATGGAAATTCAACCAAATTTTGGGTTGTGCTCTTCGAGTAGAGAGAAGGACGAGAAAGTTGAGGGGAAGAGAGAGAAGAGGGAAGGCGCATCTAAAGAAAAAACCCGCTCTTTGCCTTTTATAGACTCAAAAACCGTGCGACCTTAGGCTTGGAATCTCTCTTTTCTACCTAAGTCAGCCTAAAACATAAGCGTGCGGGCACTAGAACAATGGGAAGGGCTGATTACGCAAGTTAAAGAGAAGCAGGATAACAAGGTAGAATGCTGGAAATGCTCTTGTATTCACTGAAACAGAAGTGTTTGATGGTGTACAAATAAGGGTGGAGCAGCCCTCTATTTATAGTTGAGGCTCCAACTACACTTAATGGCAATATCCCTAGAATAAAGGCTAAAATCAAGGGATTATACAGATTACAATCAATTAGGATTCTAACTCCTGATTTCTAGGGTCAACCAAATCTGCCAAGAGGCTCCTGCTGATCCTGCATGCTTCCAGAAGCTTCCCTTGAGTGTCTAGCACCTTGGGCCCTTCTGGATGTGGTGCAGGCAGCTTGCATGCCAGGCCTTGGCCTCACGGGCTGGCTTGCAAGCTGGGCGGGCGTTCTGGCCTCGTCTCCTATGCCTTGCATGCGAATACCTGCCAACACGCCTGGTCTGCGGGCCTCAACCTCTGGCTCGCCTGCTTACCAAGATCCGCATGTTTCTGTTTAGGCTAACCTGGCCCAATCGCGACCCGATTAGTTAACCTGCGTGCTAGCTGATCTTTGGAGCCGAACCGACTTCCCCAAGCCACGTCTTAGAGCCACCTTTTTTATCTTGAGCCGAGCCATTTTCCAGCTAAACCAAGCCGTTCCAAAGGTTTTTTTTTCTTATTTATTATTATTATTATCATTATTATTATTATTATTTATTGATTAAATTAGAATTATTTAGTATTCCTTATTTTATTTTATTTTATTTTTATTTTTACCTTTATTTTATTTTTATTTTTTATTTTATTTTTTGATTTTGTTTAAAAAAATTCCAAAAAAAATATTTTTGAGGAAAAGTTGAAAGTATCAATTTTTCTTGTACAAAAGCATTGAGTTTTTGAAGAGAAAATTATTTATATCAAAGATTGAATCATTATTCTTTTTTTATTTATTTCTTTCTTTTCTTGAATTTTTTTTTGTTAAATAATCCGACGATAGAGCTTCTGTAAGTGAAATAGTAGTCTCCTTACACACTCTTGAGGTGAGGGAATTTTTTCAATTTTCTGCTAAAAGTATTAGAGTCAATTAAGAATAATTTTTAATAATTAATTACTTGGTAAATTTTTAAGGCTTATTAGATAACACAAAATTAAGCTAGTACCATCTTTCGATGGGCGTTGTAAGGGTGCTATAACCTTTCTCACACATAATCATACTCCTGAACCCTATTCTGGTTAGTAGACCTGAACTTATTCTTTTAGGGACCCTTAAGCTTAGGTGTTCCTTAAAAGGATAGATTCTTTAGATGGCTAATTGCACCTAGATAAAAAAGATTGGTGGCGACTCCTTCAAGTCAATGACTAGTGATAGATCCCGGATCTAGACGTTATGACAATATGTATAATTAATTTAGAGGACTAAGCTTCTGATGTATATTTCTCAAGTTATAATTCTCGATTTTGTATGTATATATGTATTCAGTTAAGTATATAGTTTTACTTGTTTTTATAAAAAAAATTTGTTATTGTGGATTACATTAATTAGATAATTGGTTCTTAAAACTATTGTAAAATTATCAATATAAAATCAAAGGATATAGATAAATAAAGGATTCAAATGCTTCACCTTTAATTAGATTCTACTTTCAAGTTTCTCATTTCTCTTTATAAATATTGATTCAAAGATTAACTTTTAGTCCAATAAATTTAAATTTTAACTATTATAACAAGAATATTATTCTTTGACGGATGGAAATCACTAGCAAATTGGAGACTCAATGGAGAGTAAAAATATTAATAGATACCTACAGAGTAAAAGTAAATTAAAAAAAAAAAAACCTTTTGAGTTGGAGGATTATTGCTGCTAGTAATCATTATATCTCAATTTATACATCTACATATATAATGTAAATAAAATAATATTCTAATTCAATAATTTCTTCTTAATTTATTCCATTCTTAGATTTTAAGATTTGCAACTTACAAATTACAAGTTAAACAATGTTCATACAAAAACTTGTGCCTTATTATTGTTCTATAAACATTTTTTTTAATAAATAAGTACAATCTTTAGAGAAATGTGTTATATAGATCTATAGACCTACAGCTAGATTTAACTTTAAGAGTCACCACTAATTTTTTTTTGTTTAAGTGCGATTGGACACCCAACTAAATCTGTCCCATTTTAAAGAAAAGTTTCACACTTAACTTAGATATCTTTAAAATGTATATTCTAATCTACAATATCATTACTAGGTTCAGGAGTACAATTACATGTAAGAAATATTATAGCACCCTCATAATGCCCATCCAAAGATGGTACTAAATTAATTTGTGTTATCTAAGCCTTGAAATATATTTGTATTTTTACCAAATAATTTAATATTGAAAATTGATCTTAAGGTTACTCTAAACATTTAGTAGCAATTTAAGACAATTTTTTCATCTCAAGAATATTCATAAAGACTCATGTTTTACCCCAAAAAGGCTCTAACGTCGAATTCATTAATGTGATTTTTTTTTCAAAAAAATTAATTTTGAAAACAATTAATAAAATCTTTCAATCATTTGGTAAGATTATATATCGATGCATATTCCCCAATCATTTGTTGAGATTTTTATTTGAAAAACCTTTTTATGAAAATTTTAAAAAGAATCATTAAATCTTTCAATATTTTGGTAAAATTTAACTTTGAGATTCAAATTCTCTAATCATTTAGTAGGATTAAAAAATTATTTTTTCTTTAAAATTCATTATAAAATTCTTCAA